CCACTGCTACCACCATCATTGCCGCCACCACCAGCCCTGAAGGCTGTCAAGTTATTTGCTTCTTGTCTGGCCTACCTCTACTGCTGCTTCAGCCTAGCCCAGAGGTCACTTGGCTCTGTCCCTAGGGTGCATGGCCATCTCTTTACAGGCCATGACTGTAGTCCAGCGGGTAGCAGGCAGTATGGGAGTCAGGAGGCTTGCTTCTCTCCTTACAGTGCTTAGCTTTTCTGGCACACTTTAGAGGGCCTAAGGCCAAGCCACGGTGAGCAGTGGGCCCGGGAGTGGGAGGGGAGGGCTGGGGAAATCCATCGCCTTGGCCTTCCTGGAGCTTGGTTCCAACAAAGGCTTTCTCATATTTTCTACTGTTAGCTCCTGTCAAGTGGCACGAGGGAGGAGAGATGGAGCATAAGAGGCACTCCTTACACTTTCAGAGAATGAATGAAATAATTAGACGAACACCCAGAGCGAGGGTTTGGAAGTCAGCTGTCCTGCCCCAAGGCACACTGCTCATTCATGGCATGGAACGGGCACCCTCCTCTGTGCCTCCATTGTCTCTCCCCTCTAGTCACTGGCATCTGGAAAATTTTCCATGAGGGAAGCAACAGCTCCCCGAGGATGACCTTGGCCTTGGGTCTTTCCTGGGATGTTCTGTCCCTAAGCCAAGTATGCTCTGCAACCTGCCCCCATGGCCCTCTCCACCCCAGCCCTGCTTTCTCATCCCTCGCCCTCCCCCGAGGCACAGGGAGCAAACATTGTGCTTGGTTCCCATGGCTCCCCACTGGGTTCTTCTCCCTTCCCCCAAGGCCCCTAGAACAGGGACATCTCTAGTCTCTGTCCTAAAGACCCAGTGGTACAGGAGACCAGTATTGGGGTGGGTTACAGGTAGGGCTGTGGGGACTCTCTGCCAACGAGGGTCCCTGGGGGGTGTCTCTTTGCATTTCCACCCTCAACCTCTTCCAGTCCCAGGGGAGCCCAAGGCTCCAATGCCAGGCCTGCTCCTTTCTCTGTCTGCTCCCCCCTCGCCCTGCGTCTCCCACCACTTCACTTTTGTCAGCTGTCTCCTCCCACATCAGTATCAGACCCAGAGCTGGGGCCCTGGGCCTGGTGCCAGGTCTGTCTCTGTTCTCCCTGCAGGACCCTGACCCGTGCAGGCATCCGGCTGCTCCCACCAGGGATGTGCCAACAGCTGCCCAGGCTCCGAGTCCTGTGAGTGGCCCCCAGGCATTCTCCAGTCCTGGCATTGTGCCCATCCCCACCCCCAGGGCCCCACAAAGACCTCTCCTGCTTCTGCCCCACTGTTCCCCTCTCTGCCTGGAGACTGGGACAACCTAGGCTCCTGCTGGGAATTTGCCTGAGAGGGACCCTCTTGTTTAGGGTCAAAAGGCAATGATCAGGGCAGGCGGGGGCGTCAGAGCTGGGGTTGAGGCTCAGCTCTTTCACTGATGGGCTGGGTGGACTTGGACTCTTCAGTGTCTCTGAGCTTCTGTCTCTTTATTGTTAAAGTGTGCCTGGAACCTATTAAGGCACCGCACTCTCGATTCGTGCTAGCACCTAGTAGGTGCTCGGTAATGGCACGGTTACTCTAGTGTATACAACTAGTGTTCTCTGGGATCATGGAGCCATTTATACAGCTTATGAAGCCAGGGGGTGGCGGGCAGCGGGGAGAGGCTCTTCTTTCTCCCTTGACTCTAATCTGAATCTGAGGCCCCCACCCGCCTAAGATGGGTGGACAGACACACAACACACGGGCATAGTGCTAGACTGACAGCCTATGGGTCCTGGGTCGGCCCTGCCCTGTCCCTGGACATGGGTTTCCCCATCAGATAAATGAAGGGATAGGCCAAAGATCTCTATCAGTGTCCCACCAGCTCCACGTGGGTCAGCACCGGTCAGCTCGCTCAGTGTGCCCTGGCTAAGTTCACTGTGGCTGTCCCCAGGGGCCCTGTTCCCCATTCACTGTTGCTTTCCTCGCCCCCATCTCCATCTCTGTCCCATCCCCCAGGACCCCCCAGGGGTCCTTCACAGGGTTGAGATGGCCCTTCTGGAAAGACAACATCCAGCCCTTGCAAAGAGGAGGGAGGGCTGGCATGGGGGAGGAAGGGACATCTAGCTCAGCAAATCAGGATTCTAGTACTAGGCCTGTCCCTTAGGACCCTCAGCTGCTGGAGAGGACAGATGGCTCTTCGGCCCTGGAGAAGCCAGCGCTGTGCTTCCTGCGCCCCTCCGCAGCCCTCTCCCGGGCATTGCTTCACCCCTGCCCCGCCTTTCTCTCCCCACAGGGAGCTGTCTCATAATCAAATTGAGGAGCTGCCCAGCCTGCATCGGTGTCAGAGGTTGGAGGAAATGTGAGTCTATGGGCCGGAGGGAGGCAAAGGCCTACTGGTCAGAGTCTGGGCAGTGCTGGGTGTGTCTGGGCAGACCTGAGCCCACTCCCACCTTCCTCTGTTCCCTGGGATTGACGAGCGCAGGTTGGAGCTTTGACAAGGCCCCTGGGAGACACGATGACATACTCAGAGGCTGGTGTCCAAATGGAGTCTCAAGGTGGCTCCTTGGGCATCCACCCAGAAACGCAGTAAAGATCAGGGTCAGTGGAGGCGCGGGTCTACACCAGGGCTCTGCTGCTGGTCTTCCCAGGGCTGGACTGGGCAGGAGAAGGCTCCCGAGGGCCAGGATGGGTTCTGTCATCTGGAGTATGTTCTCTCATCATCCACATCCCCAAAAACCCACACACGTGGACGTGGAAGAACAAGCCTGGGCCTTAAATGTCACAAGGGGGGAAAAAATCTCTTCATAATTCTCTAGACTCATTCACACCAGCTCCTGCTTCCACATGCTGGCCAGGCCTCCACAGCCTCCTGGTTCCAGCCCCCGCTTCTAAGCAGGGCAGTGCCGTTTGAGGCTGGGACAAGGTGGAGGTATGAGGATCCGACCCTAATTGCCTGGAGGCCACAGGCATGGTCTTCAGCACCACCAAGGCTCACGGCCCATCGCCCATTCTGACAACTGTGCTGCCGAGCTCTATTCCCAGCTTGGAGCTGGTCACTGAAGTATAGGACAGTGCTGGGCTGGGACCTGGAAGACCCATGAGGGTAGGGGTGGGAGTGGCTGGGCGAGGAGCCAGGCCCGGTGGGAACACTGGAAGCTGACTCCCTTTGGGCCAAGGGGTGGTTTTGTGGCTTTGTCTCCTGACCCACTTAGCCAAGGCAACCAGATTCTTTATGCTCCCTTTAATTCTGGGGACTTCAGCAGTCCGGGCCCATTCTTCCTGTGCCAGGAGAAGTAGGGGGCTCTCCCTTCTTCCTCCCAGTACACGGGGGTCTGTAACAGAACCAGGGTCTGAGACTGCCCGCTCATCTCTGCCTCCCTTGCTGCCCTAGTGGCCTCCAACACAACCGCATCTGGGAGATCAGAGCCGACACCTTCAGCCAGCTGAGCTCACTGCGTGCCCTGTGAGTATCCCCAGCTCAGGGGTGCCCCATCCCCTCCTGCCACGCCCTCCCTTCACACACATAGGGGCGGTGCCTCTCCATGCAGCTGCTTCTCCAGCTGGCACCCAGGGGGGCCATCAGGTCTAGAACCCCGTTGTCAGTGTCTCCATTCCTAAGGCCACATCCAGATGGGGAGCCAGGCAGCAGGTGTGGTTGTGTGTGGTCAGGTCACTCACAGCCACCCTGTGTCATCATAGAAGCCTCCCCCACCCCCTCCTACCCCCGGGGTCTTCACAGGCGGGTCACAGGTTGCCAGACCTTTTCTCCTGCAGAGACCTGAGTCACTGAGCCACCCAGGTTGAGGTCCCTGCTGGCAGGGGCATGCAGCACGTGTCACTGTCCCCTCCTGTCACACCCTCTACCCCCAGGGACCTGAGCTGGAATGCCATTCGGTCCATCCACCCTGAGGCCTTCGCCACTCTGCCCTCCCTGGTCAAGCTGTAAGTGCCCGCTGCTCTTTCCTCTGGGCTGCTGGGAACCTGCTGGGGACTTTGGGATGGACAGTGGGACAGGAGGGCCCACCCCCAAGCAGGGGCATGCATAAATGTGGGAGTCCCACCCCCCAGGGAGCTGGGCCCCCGCCTCAACAATCATTCTGACCGTCCAGTTGACAGACCGTGGGGCCTCATAAGCAGTCACCCTGCCTCCTGCAGCTTCTGGGACATCGTCTGCTAATAGTCTGCCAGGCTTGGACAGCCTGGGCCCAGCCCATGCCCCGCTGCCCCATTGCCCAGGCCACTCGCCCAGCCTCTGCTTAGACTGATAAAGAGGATGTGCGGGCTTGGGACCCCTTCAGGACAAGTGGAGCCCGAGGCTTCGAGAGCTGGGCTCTCCTGCTTGGGGCGTGACTCTAAGGAGCTGCCATTTTGAGGGGCCGAAAGAGAGCACAGGCCTTCTTCCTGACCCGGGCTGTAAGCAGGGAGCATGTGGTGCAGACCACGTGGTCGTTATGGCAGAGGTAGAGGGGGCCCGTGGCAGGACTGCCCACACCATGACACACTAGGGCTCCGCCCCAGCCTGCCTGCCTACCTGCTCGCCAAGGTGCGCATCCTCGGGGCCCACGTGCCAGAGGGCACCCTTTCCTCGTGAACACAGAGGCTCCTCGCGGGCTGCCTGCAGCCCCGGCCTGAGGTCTCCCAAGCCCAAGGAGGCACAGCTGGTCCGGAGCCTGCAGCAGGCGCCCAGGCCTCCTTGGGTGTGTGTGGGGTTTTCTTTGGCTCTGGGAGGCAGCCTGGCAAATCACTCACCTCTGCCATCCCTCTCCTGTTTGCTCAACTCCTGCCAGATAGGTAGGGTAGATACTTTTATCCCTTTAAAAGACGAGGCCGCCGAGACGCCCCAGATTTGTGACCCCCCCTCCACAGTGATGACACAGTGAGTTAGTTGACGGCGCCAGCTCTCCCGCCTTCCAGGCCAGCCCTGCTTCCACGGCGGTGGTGCAGCAGCGTCTGTGATGGTGGTGTTTGGTTTGGAGCCCCGGCTTCCTGTGAGGCGTCTGCAGGAGAGCTCTCTGCGTGTCCTCACCTCGGGCTACAGAGCAGGCTCTGTGCAGCGGAAGGAATGACCGAAGCCCTGTCCAATCCCAGTCTCTGGCCCCTTATAGCACCAGGAAAGGGGGAGGAAGGCCCGGGAGATGGGGCCGAGCAACAGCAGGCAGGTCCTCGGGTGGGGCGGGCAAGGGACCCAGAAGCAGCTCAGATGGAGACACAGGAAGCGTGCCTGCCTGGGCACACAGGGGCCCCAGTGCCTGGGCAGAGGGATGGCATGGCATGGAGTCAGAGCCGTCTTGGACCTTCAGTTGGTACACACCGCCCGTTGAGTGAACGAATGCGTTCTAGATGGTGTCTCTCACGGGTGCCTCCTCCCCGGTCTCGGGCTCTCTTCCTTACCTGCTCATCTTCTGTCCTTTGCCTCCTCCTCTCGCTTCCGTCCCGGGCATCCTGACCACCCCCTCAGCACAGCCCCCTCAGCAGTCCCATGGTAACCCTGACCATCCACTGCCCTAGGGACCTGACAGACAACCAGCTGACCAGCTTGCCCCTGGCCGGACTTGGGGGCCTGATGCACCTGAAGCTCAAAGGGAACCTGGCCCTCTCTCAACCCTTCTCCAAGGACAGTTTCCACAAACTGAGGTGAGGGGCTAGCTTTCGCCCACCCTGGGTAGGTTTGCCCCAGGGTAGCTGTTAAGACCAAGGAGGGACCAGGAGAAAGATGCAGGGCCTCGCTCTGAGGACCGTCTGGTGGCCCAGTGGCCGATGGCTTGGCCAAGACTAAGTGGATGGCCTCATCCACCCTCCAACCAGCCCACCAGGGTCTGCTCTGCGCCTCCCCTTCCTCCTCAGCACCCGGGACCCGTAGGACCAAACTCCTGGACAGATGTGCAGACCCTGGGCCCCTTTGCTCCTTGCCCAGCTCTGTGCACTCTGCCTGTCCAGCCCCACTTAGGCAGCATCTGGGGCCTGGAATCAGGACAGAGCCCAGGGCCCTGATGAGTGGAAAACACGCTGCAAAACCAGTCCTGATGCTAATGACATCCAGGCCTCTTACACACAGCAGCGGCAGCGGCACAGCCTGTGTGGCCCGTGCCTGCTGCAAACTAACGAGAGGCCCGGGGCCAGCTGCCCTCGCCCGCGGAGGGGACCCAATTCCCTTTGGATGTGCCCAAGGAGCAGAGCGGGCCATGGACCTCACTCAGGGCAAAGAGGCATTGATTGGGAGAACCCCTGTCTTCTTCAACCTAAAAGGGAGGGGTGCTGTCTGGGCAGGGGAGCAGAGGCCCAAGTGCTGGGTCTCTTCAGGTAAGCTGCTCCCCACTCTGAGCCTGCTGCGGGACTCCCTAAACAATGGGCAGAAAGTCTACCTCCCAATCTCAGCTCCCAACCTGACAAGGACGGGACTGGGGTCCGCCCAGAGCCCTTCGGTGGCAGGAACCAGACAGGTGAAACCCTTGGGAAGAAGAGGCTGCCCGCACGCTTACCAGTGCGCTTGGAGGCTGAAGAGCAGTTAGTTGCTGAGCGCAGGCTCCCTGGGCACTTGGCTCAGACTGAAGCCTTCGAGCCCGATACACTTCTAAAGCCGCTCCTCTCTCCCCATGCCTAGGGTCCTGGAGGTGCCCTATGCCTACCAGTGCTGTGCCTACGGGGTCTGCACCAACTTCTTCAAGGCCTCTGGGCAGTGGGAGGCCAAGGACTTTCACCTGGAAGAGGAGGAGGCACCAAAGAGACCCTTGGGCCTCCTTGCTGGACAAGCAGAGAACCACTGTGAGTGACTACTGGGCTCCCGAGCTGGGTGAGGCAGAGCCGGGCGGAAGGCTGTGGAGAGGACACCTGGGGGACTTTGAAGGGGGGCTACTGAGGGACATCCTAGGGAGGGACTGCCCCGCCACCCGAGAGAAAACGACCTCTGTTGGCGCCTCGTCTCTCCTCCAAGGGGAGAGGCAGCCATGAGGGAAGCGGTCTCTTCCCCACCCTCCAGGGGCGCTTGGCAAAGGCATCATGAGAATAACAATGACTGACTGTTACCTTGTGCCAATAAGCCAAATACCACAAGTGGGTGGCTTTAGAGAGCCGATCTTTCTCTTCCACTTTACTTTTAGTTCTGGAGGCGAAGGCCCGAACTAGGGCCTTGGGAATGTTCGCTCCTCTCTCCTCAGTAGCCCCAGGTGGTCCTTAGTTCTTTGCCTTTCCTGGGCTTGTAGACGAGGCCCACCTGGGGTGGTGGGGTGGTGGTGGTGTGTGTGTGTGTGTGTGTGTCCAATCTCAAAGGTTGTTAATAAGGCGTTTCTCCGATCTTGATCCCACCTGGTGTCCGTGTGTGTGTATGTGTCTGTGTCCAATCTCAAAGGTTGTTAATAAGGCGATTCTCCAATCTTGATCCCACAATCTTCTTCATACAATCCAGCCACCTGGTGTCCGTGTGTGTGTGTGTGTGTGTTTGTGTCCAATCTGCCCTTTGTATGATGCGGGAGTGATTAGGCTTAGTCTCACAATAAAAGGAAGCTTCATTTCCAAACAAGGTACGTGGGTGGAATGGCCGCACCATCTCTCTTAATTAATTAATACCCCTGCCCTCGGAGCTCCTACGCTGCTTCTCATGGCTGCCCCTCATCACGCGGGCTTCGATCCTTCAACATGAGAGCGTTCTCAGAGAAGATAGGCCCAGTTTTTAATCAAGTGGGATTTAATTAGATGACTTGTATTAAAGCAACTTCCAGGGAAAATGATAATCCCCTCACAGTATGTCCCAGAGCTGGAAGAGACCATTGCTCCCCGGGTCTAGCCTGCCCCTCTGCCATGCCCCGATGCACCCTAAAGAGAGACGTCAGGGGCTGCTGGGCGAGAGAATCTTCACAGCACACAGACTGCCTCGCCTCAGTCCCTGGAGCAGTGGGAGTAGAAGGCAAAAATTGGGGCCGGAGTTGTACCGACTCCTCCGCTAGCGGGTGTCAGAGACCAAGGGCACAGAAGAGTGCTCTGTCTGCCCTGCCTCCTGTTCTGTTGGGAGGACGAAGAGGAGGGGCCCTGCTTTGGGTTTTTGCGTTTGTTTTTCCATCTCCACCTCTCTCTCCGTAATATCTCAGTGGAGAAGCTGAACAGAGACATCCCATCTAAATAGGTGAGACAAACCCCTCACCGCCAGTAGACCTGTGCTTCCACGACGGTGCCACTGCCTTCCTGGGGGTGCAGAAGCGCCCTGCAGCGATGTAAGAGCCAGAGCAGGTGGATCCCATACTCCAGCCTGGGTGCCGGGCTCCAGGACAAACGATTCCTATTGCCAGATCTCAGGGGTGCCGAGGTGGTTTGTTTCCTGAAAAAAATGGGCAGTAGGCCAAATAACTTTGGAAACCTACGGTGTAGACAGACCAGGCTCCTGGGTTGCCTGGGACAAGCTCTTTAACCGTGTTGCACCTCCATTTCCTGCTCTGTAAAATGGGGCAATGGTCACATGCCAGAAGCTGTTGGTCGTGTTAAAGCATTCCATAAATGGCAAGACATGTTTATTACTCCCATACTGCTACTGCTACCCTACATGGATGCTGCTGTCTTCTGGTGGCCGTGCTTGGGAAGAATGGGGTCCTAGACACAGCTTCGAGAAGCCCAATGTTGGCTGAGCAGCCTGGGGTCTCTGGGAGCCTCCCTCCGCCTGTACGTCCCCAGGGAATGTCTGAGGACCCATGTGAGGGGAGCCTGGCAGGCACACTGGCTCTGGGCCGGCAGACGGCTGTCCCTGGGGGACGTTCCCGGATGTCTGCTGTACACTCCCTCAGGGGCTGGAAGGAGCCACGGAAACTTTCCTACCTCAAGGTGAAACTTTCCACCGGGCTTAGGTCTTGGAGAACCACAGGGCGTCAGGCCTGAGGGCCGCCAGCCGCCTGTAACGAGAGCTAGGGGCAGGGCCCCCATTTCCTGTGGGGCTAATGAGCCCCAAGAAGGCAGGCCAGGAGCGGGCGCTCCAGCCAGATTCGATTTCCTCCTTGTTTGAAGAGTGGTTACTTAACACCTTGGCTGGGACTTTCCCAGCCTCAGACAGAGTCCCCCAACTCACCCTTGGAGTTCATTCATGTCTTTTGCCTTCAGAGAACGGCGGTGCTCCGTTCTGGAGCACAGGAGTGGGCAGGGAATGAGAAGTAGAGAGGGGAGGAAATGCTGGGGATCTGTGGGCACGCCTCGGCCCCGGTGTCCCGCCCCAGCCAGCTCCAGCATCCTGGGGAAACACCAGCTATAGGGATAGGAGGAAGGATCCACCCAGGAAACAGGGAATTGGAGCCAGAGATGGAGGCAACACACAGAGCCACCCATCCACTGCGTGCATGACGGAGGCAGAGACTGCACCAGACCCAAGCAGTTGCTGTTCAGAACAAATGACACGCTAGGGCAGAGGTTCTCCACCTTCCTCATGCGGCGGCCCTTTCATACAGTTCCTCAGGCTGTGGTGACCCCCAACCACACCATTATTTTAATTGCTACTTCATCGCTGTCATTTTGCTACTGTTATGAAGCATCATGTAACTATCTGATAGGCAGGATGTATTTTCATTGTTACAATTCTAACACAAGTAAACATAATTAAAGCATAGTGATTAATCACAAAACACTATGTAATTATATATTATGAAATATTTATGTTTTCCGATAGTCTTCGGTGACCCCTGTGAAAGGGTCGCTCCACCCCCAAAGGGGTCGAGACCCACAGGTTGAGAACCGCTGCTCTAAGGGGTTTTCATCAGCTCTGGTCTTTGGGAAGCAAAATCCCACCTCTTCCTTCAGAGGCATCCCTGGGTGGATTCGAACTTTCAGTTAGGATGCTTCATCTTTCGAGCCACCAGAGACTCCTTGAATGATGTTGATGCCGACTCACAGCAACCCGGAGGACCGGGGAGAGCCGCCCTGCAGGCGTCCAGACTGTCACTCTGGACAGGAGTAGAAAGACCCCTCTTGGGAAAACAGTTTCCTTGGACCACAGAGGGCCTCCGATACCTTTCTCGGTCCTGGAGCCTCAGGAAGCACTGACTTGAGCAACTATAGCAGGATTCTTAAAAATACCTCTTTATCGGGTGAGGAGCGGAAGGGAGAGAAAGGGGGAACTGATCACAAGGTTGCATATATAACACCCCCCACCCTGAGGGGGACAAGTAATAGAAATGTGGGTGAAGGGAGACAATGGAAGGTGTAAGATATGAAATAGCAATAATGATATATAATTGATCAAGGATTCTCAAGGATAGGAGGGTGGGGGAGGGAGGGGGCAAAAAAGAGGAGCTGATAGCAAGGGCTTAAGTAGAAAGAAAATGTTCGCGAAATGATGATGGTAGCATATGTACGAGTTGCTTAATACAATTGAATGATGGATTGTTATAAGATCTTTAATAGCCCCCCCAATAAAATGATTAATAAAAAAGTTTTCATCTCAATTATGGATTATCACTGCAAAGGAACTCATTCTGTATACTGCCTAAATGTGTTAAGATTGTTATTTCAAAATTCTTAAAGGATTTGTCGACCCTGGAGAAGATGCCCCTCAGTCCCCTCACCCGCTGGCCCCACCGCAGTTTTCAGGTCCTGGCTTAAGAAACGAGGACTCCCGGGTGCTGTGGTTAAAACATTTGGCAGTTAAGGAGAAGGTTGGCATTCAAACCCAGCAGCCGTTCTGCAGGAGCAGAGGAGGCAGGCTGCACACACTGAGACGTAAGCCTCAGAAGCCTATGGAGCAGTTGGGCTCTGGCCTGCGGGTCGCTGTGAATTGGGACCAACCAGAGGGTGGTGGCTTAGTTTATGGAACCCTGCGATCGTGAACCACAACAAAAATCTCATTGGACTCAGACTTATTAGAGTATTTCTTTGACAAGAGACTTACCTTTCTAATTCTGTCATCTCTGACTCACAGGGTCATAGAGCCGAGACAGAATTGGAAGGAACCTTAAAGATGGTCTGGTGCAACCTCTGATTCAGTGTAGATATGCGCTCGCTCACATTCAAGACCTGGCTCCAGTGACAAGCTATGCCCAGTTCATGCATCCCTAAAGCTTTCCTAGTTGTAGCCTCCACCTGCCCAAGCTTCACGCCCTCCCCCAGCCCCCCAAGCAAAAGAATCAGTCCATCCTCTGGGAAAGTGTGACTGACGGTTAAACATCCAGGCTCTGTAATCACACAGCCCTGGGTGCTGATTTCACTATGGCACTCACAGACCAGACACCACCTTGCTCTGATGGGTCTCAGTTTCCTCATCTGTCAAAGGAGGAGAAAAGTGGCCACTGCTTCAAAGAGGTGCTGTGACGGGTAATGAGACTGTGAGGGTGAAGTCAGACTGGGCCTGGTGTCTGCTGCAGGGTAACCACTCCAGGAGTGCTAGCCCTTCAGGTTAAGGAAGTGTATTGTCTGGTTTTATTTTATTTGGATCCATAAATGCCCATGAAAACAGTGATCAAGAAGTCAAGCAGCGTATTACGTGGGGGAATTTTGCTGCAAATGACCTCTTTAAGGTGCTGAAAAATAAAGGCGTCACATTGAGGACTAAGGTGCACCTGACCCAAGCCATGGTATTTCCAAATGCCTCATATACATGTCAAGACTAGTCAATAAGGAAGGCTGAAGAAGAAGGGATGTTGTGTTAGTCTGGGTTGACTAGAGAAATTCATAGGCACTCGTGTGTAAGAAAGAGCTTTATATACAAGAGCAATTGAATGTTGAGAAAACATCCCAGTCCAGTCCAGATCAAGTCCATAAGTTTGATATTAGCCCCTATGTCCGATATCAATCTATAAATTTCTCTTCAGACTCGTGAAACACATGCAATGATGCCGAATGCAGGAAGATCACAGGCCAGTGGGTGGAAAATCTTGTGTATCCAGTGGTGGTGGAAGCATCTCAGTGATGGCAGGGGTCTCCACGTGGCTCCTCCAGCTCCAGGGCTCTAGTGTAGCTCCATGTGTCTTGTCATCAGGAATACGAAGCTGAGTGTCTGTCGCCTCCAGGCAGGAATACAAGAGTTCCCAGAATCCTTAGGAGACCTCATTGGCTATGGCCTGATTGACAGGCTAGACTCCACCCTTCACAACTTGACAGGAGATTAGGTAACTGCCCCAGATGTCTTTCAGTTACTGTGTTGGTGAAGAACCTTGAATGCACCATGGACTTCCAGCAGGACAAACAAACCTGTCCTGCACGAAGTACATCCAGAATGCTCCTTGGAACCAATAATGGCGAGACTTTGTCTCACATACTGGGGACATCTTATCAGGAGGGATCAGTCACGAATAGAAGGACAGCACGCTTGGTGAAGCAGAGGGCCGGTGGAAAATAGGAAGACCCTCAATGAGATGGACTGACACAGTGCGTGCACACTGGGCTCACACAACACTGTTCACAAGGACTGGACAGTGTCTGGTTCTGTTGGACACAGGGCCACCTGGAGCCAGAACCGATCGATCGGAAGGCACTTAACAACGGCAACATTGTTTGAGGAAGCACACGGTCCTGTGATTTGTGTTCTTCATTGCTCTCCCTCCAGACAGGCAGGACACATCTTGTTCACCTCTGAATGCCTTTGCATTTGCCCAGGGTCCAGCACATAGTAGGCATTGCATTCAGCGCATACGGGCCTCTTGCCCCCCTGTCAAAGACCATGCCCTACTGTTAGATACGCCTAACTAAGAACGCATTCTTGTAGGCACTGGTGGTCCAGTGCAGAATTCTCGTCTTCCATGAGGCAGTCCCAGGTTCAGTTCCCAGCCATGTGCTGTGGAGGTTTGTGTGTGGCTACCATAAGGAAAAGGTTTCCATAGAGCTTCCAGACTAAGACAGACTAGGAAGGAAGGCCTGGCAATCTCCTTCCCAAAAACAGCCAGTAAAAATACTACGGACGATAGTCCAATTTGCAGCCAACCACAGTGGACGGCGCAGGACCATGCAACGTGTCGTCCCATTGTGCACAGGGTTGGTGTGAGCTAGGGGCCTTCTCCATGGCAGCTGACAGCCGCATTCTTGTTCATCAGAACTAGGACTTCTCTGTTTGGATTGTAATCACCCTCCTTCTACAAACCACCCACTGGCCCTCATTCTATCCTCTGAAACCATACAAGTCAGAGTCAGCCCTTGTGCCTCATAGGCCTGAGCACCCAGCCACGGTGTCAGGTTTGCCCGTGCCTCCGCCAGACTGAATGCACTGAATGGAGAAGTGACTCCAGCTCCCTCGCCATCTCTCTTTGACCTCCTCTGGACACCCTGCAGCTTGCCAGTGTCCTTCTTAGTGTGTAGTGCTCACCACTGATGTGGGAGGACAGTGAGGAGGAGGATGGTTGCTGAGGCAGCCTCCTCTCTCCGTTTCAGCAGCACTCATGGACCGAGACGGACTAGAGAGGGCCCCAGGTCTGCTGGGCCATAGAAAAAGCAAGCCTCGGAAGCAACAAGAGCTATAAAGAACCCATAGTGCAGAGAAGACTCTACATGTGGATGCTGGGGAGCTGATTCAATGTTTACACCCAGGGTGAGCAGGTGGAACAGGCAACTAGGGCTAGAGAGTTAGCCAGGACGACACCTTAAAGCAAGGGGATCAGACTGGTGAAGAAAATCGTGCTTAGGGGAGATCGAGGCAATACTGTACACACAATTCCCTCATTACATTTTATTTCAGACCATCGTGGGCCACAAAAAATTACCTTGGGGCTGCATGCGGCCCCTGGGCCGCCAGTTTGACAGCTCTGCCTTAAAGGAATGGGTCTTGGGAGAAAGGCAGGACAGGACGTTGCTAACACCTGGCCTCAAGCCACTTTCTCCTCTTCCCTTTCAGATGACCTGGACCTCGATGAGCTCCAGCTAGAGATGGAGGACTCCAAGCTGCATCCCAGTGTCCAGTGCAGTCCTATTCCGGGTGAGTTGGGTGCCTGGCTAGGGGGCCAGGCCTGAGGAAGGAGCTCATATCCCCTCGGTGAGATGCCAAGGTCTGCAGTTAAACTTCCAATCTTCTTTCATAATTCCTGGGGGAGAAGCTGGGGTTCCTTCCCTGGTGTGGCTGCTGGGCAGGAGCTGTGCCAGGGCACCTTCTCAGCCCTCTCTATTCCATCCCAGGGTGGTCGCAATCTCTTTCTTAAAGTTTTTTGCACTTCTTAAGAAAAAAATTTTAACAGCTATTGGCTATAATTCAAGTACCATACAAGTCAATGGTTTAAACACATCTCTTCAAGTTGTGTGGTCATCACCACAATTAATTTTAGAGCATTTTCTTCATCCTTGGACCCATTATTAGCTCCCTACTACCCCCAACCTCCTCTGCCATCACCTTAAAGAAGTATGAATTTAGTTACTATCTCTATGGGTTACCTCTGCTGGCTTTCAAAAAACCCCACCACCACCACGAACAAAATGAAACACAGAGAAACCTCAATCCAAAAGGAAGCAGAATAGAAACTAGAGCAAATTTAAAAGGGGTCAAAGGGACAATACCTGAGGTTATATTTTAACCTAATTATATCTGCAGTGATCCACTTTCCTGTGCACTCTGTCAGAGAGCAAGACTGCTCACACCCCAATCAATGGTCTGAGGCAGTTCCATGGAGGCTTCATCCACATGGGATCACTGCAAATGGATTTTGGGCTTTCACTGTCATCCATCAACTGGATATTCAAAATTTCAACTCTAATACAACCCCCTCCTCTGATCTTAGATTTGGTTATTTACTGTCCTTGGCTCACATGGGCTGCTGTGCTCCTTCCATGTGGACTTAGCAGACACCTCACTTAGATGGCTGCTCATTTGAAGACGAGCCTTCTTAAAGCTTTCTTAAAGCTCGCAGTATCCCTGGTACTTCCATACAGTAGTGTCTCATCCTGATCGCGAAGGAAGCAGCCTTTGGGGTCTAACCAAACTCATCTTGTTGGGAGGAAATAGAGAAAATTCTCTTTATCCTTGATGTAAGTCCAACCTAAGGTGTTTCGAGTGAAGAACATCCTTCCCCTTGAGTATCAAATGCTAATGAGGCAGCCCAAAAGGCGGCAGAATACTTGCTTAAGTCAGGACAGAAACTGTTCAGAAGGCTTAAGCACAGCGGGAAGTTTTACTCTTATGTTTCACACCACCGTCACGTTCTAGCTTTCCATCTTTGCTTGGTCTTCCCCGACTTGCCCTCTCTAAGGCCCAAAGAGCACATGCCTGATCCTGTCCCAACACCTGCGTTCAGCAACTAAATGACAATGATTCGCCCTCTAGTGCCAGCCCCAGGCAAGAGCACCGGCCAAACTGGGGCGGAAGCAGGTGGTGTTTTTTCTGACTTGGAAAACCACATGTTTCACAAAGCCTCAGAAATTGCACCTCTGAAAACCAATCTTCAGCAGAGTGGCGGTACAACAGGAAATTCTGAAAGACAGAGTCCAACTTGAACTCGCTTTTAGAACGAATAGCTCATACAAATGGTCAAATAAATCATGGAACATCCATATGGTGAAGGATTTATCACGCAGCAATTGGAAACATGTTTTGAGGCATATAAGGATATGGGAATATGTGCACGGTGAATTTTTTAACTTTAAAAAAAGAGAATAGAAAACCATATGTAGTAAAATCCTAATTTCGTTTTGGGAAGATCTATCTGTCTGTTTTACTGGAAGGAAATATACCAAATGATTAGTTCTCTCTGAGAGGTGAGATCATAAGCAATTTTTATTCCTCTGTGTTATACAAAGGGGCTACAAAATGCTGGTGGGGGAAAAAATTCCATTATCTTTCAACTTCATTTTCCACAAACTTTTTGGAACCTCACTCGTATCTTCCAAATTTTCTCAATTACCATCTGTTATTTGGTAAACAGGAAAAATATCTTTAAAAAAATAGCCCCCACAAAAATCTCTCAACTCCCCAAGCTACCTAGGAATTGAAGAACAGGAGTCTGAAGCCAACAATTTTCAAGAAATCATATATCCAAAGTCACAGGTGATGTAAGAACAGACCGTGGGAGAGAGATGAGAACCACATGGATCTAGCTCTCCCATTCATTGAAGAACTGCTTGGAAAGGCCCACATGGTTTCAGTCATTTGATTTACTCAGGGTGCTTCGCCTCACAAATACTGGCTGCCTCCGTGAATATTAAATGGGGCTAGCCAGTATGACACTGGTCAAGACTCCTCCACCGTGGAGTCCCATGTGGGTCATGGGGCCTTTGCTGGAGTCGTGGAGCCTCCGACTGCAGAATGGCTGATCATTGGGCAGCTCCTCCAGCTCCTGGGTCCCTTTCCCAGCCACCTGCCCAGTTTGGGTCCCTGTTCGGTCCATTATGCCGCCCTGTCCCCTCTCTTCTCCCAAATGCCACTCCTTTGGAAACACTCCCTCCATGCCACATGTTAACGTGTGGGTCGGTGCTGTGTTGATTTGCACTGCATTTTTCTTGAGCCGGCATCAACTCAATGGCAACGGACAGCATCCGCACTGGGAGGCGGGCTAGTGTTCCCCCGTTGCTGCTCCTTGGAAGAAGAGCTATGGCTCTCAGCAGGGTTCCTCCTCCAATCCCCAATGGGCTGCCCTTTGAAGGCAGGGACCCTGTCTGTTCCTGCAAACCAGGAGTGCTCTGAGGGTCGTGACTGCGTCTGTCTCTTGGACTGGGGGTTCTTGACAGCCTCCCTCGGACTGGGAGTTTTCTGAGGCTGGTGACCTGGACAAGGAGTTCTCTGAATGCAGAAGTCAAATCTGCTTCCCTGCAGAGCAGCCTCGGGCCCAGAGGGGTAATGTCTGACCCTCTCTCCTACAGGCCCCTTCAAGCCCTGTGAGCACCTCTTTGAGAGCTGGGCTCTCCGCCTGGCCGTGTGGGCCATCGTACTGCTCTCCATCCTCTGCAACGGGCTGGTGCTGCTGACGGTGTTTGCCGGGGGGCCAGGCCCCCTGCCCCCCGTCAAGTTTGTGGTAGGTGCGATTGCAGGTGCCAACACCTTGACGGGCATTTCCTGTGGCCTCCTGGCCTCCGTCGATGCCCTGACCTTTGGCCAGTTCGCCGAGTTCGGAGCCCGCTGGGAGACGGGGCTGGGCTGCCGGGCCACGGGCTTCCTGGCGGTGCTTGGGTCCGAGGCGTCGGTGCTGCTGCTGACGCTGGCCGCCGTGCAGTGCAGCGTGTCCGTCTCCTGCGTCCGGGCCTATGGGAAGGCCCCGTCCCTGGGCAGCGTCCGCGCAGGGGCCCTGGGCTGCCTGACGCTGGCGGGGCTGGCGGCAGCCCTGCCCCTCGCCTCCGTGGGCGAATACCGGGCCTCCCCGCTCTGCCTGCCCTACGCCCCGCCCGAGGGCCAGCCGGCGGCCCTGGGCTTCGCCGTGGCCTTGGTGATGATGAACTGCTTCTGCTTCCTGGTGGTGGCCGGCGCCTACATCAAGCTCTACTGCGACCTGCCCCGGGGAGACTTCGAGGCCGTGTGGGACTGCGCCATGGTCAGGCACGTCGCCTGGCTCATCTTTGCCGACGGGCTCCTCTACTGCCCCGTGGCCTTCCTGAGCTTCGCCTCCATGCTGGGCCTCTTCCCCGTCACCCCGGAGGCCGTCAAGTCCGTCCTGCTGGTGGTGCTGCCCCTGCCCGCCTGCCTCAACCCGCTGCTCTACCTGCTTTTCAACCCCCACTGCCGCGAGGACCTGCGGAGGCTGCGGCCCCGCGCGCGCACCCCGGGGCCCCTGGCCTACGCGGCGGCCAGCAGCGAGCTGGAGAAGAGCTCCTGCGATTCCACCCAGGCCCTGGTGGCCTTCTCGGATGTGGATCTCATTCTGGAAGCTTCTGAGGCTGGGCGGCCCCCTGGGCTGGAGACCTATGGCTTCCCCGCCGTGACCCTCCTCTCCTGCCAGCAGCCCACAGGCTCCAGGCTGGAGGGAAGCCGTTTTGCGGGGGCAGAGGGCACCCCCTTGGGGAACTCCCAGGCCGCTGCGGATGGAGAACTGCTGCTGCGGGCCGAGGGGGCCACGTCCGTGGGCAAGGGCTTGTCAGTGGGCGGGGGCTTCCGGCCCTCAGGCTCCGCCTTTGCCTCACACGTATAAAGGTCCCTCCCTGCCCTTCTCCTCTCTACTCTTCCCCTTCACCCTCCTCCCAGAATGGTCGCTGCTTGTCTAATAAACACAGCCCAAACGCCCACAGTGCCATCCCAGCAGGGCGCCCCGCTCTCTGGCTCCACAGGGTCTTCCCGTCTCCCTCCATGGCCCTGTGGCCATCATCCGTGGGTGCTTCTTGACCTTGGCTGTCCTTAGATTCCGCCCATCCATGCTGAGTCTCTTCACTGCCACATCTCAGCCCATGAACCACAGCCCTGGAAATGTATCTGCGTGGGGGAAATGCAGAAAATAAGAGACAGTGAAGTGGAGGGGTGGGGGGCACCATGGGGAAGGGGCCTCCTGGAGAGAGGCCAAGCAGGGGACTACCAAAAGTGACCGAGCCCTTCCCTTGGAACCTGTGGGTGCAAGACGAAATGTGCTGTGTGTGACGCTGATCTTGGGGTATGCTGTGTATGAAGACCACCAATGTAAACAAGTGTTGAAACCTACTGCATCCCTTCCTGAGAGTATGTAAAGGCCCTGAGAAGTCCTGCAGCGAGCAGTAAGCCCTGGTGAGCTTTGTTCATGCTGGTCACCCACATTATTGGACAATGGTTGTTTGGTTTTCGTGGACTGCCTGGTAACATCTCACAGAATTTAGCATGGGTCTCTCCCGGGGAATCCCCTGGTCCTGCTCAGTAACATTGCAATCCCTGGAAGCGCTAGTCCTAGACCTTGACCTGGGCGAGGGAGGGAGCTCTGCCTTCCCACCTCTCTGATCCTACCCTGGGAGGGGCGAAGAGGAACCCACCATGTGGTGTCGGCCTGGGCCCCCCCCTGCACTGGGACCGAGGGACAAGTGCGTGTTCCCATTGTCCCCACAAGCCCAGCTCCCAGGTAGCTTCCACTTCCAGCAAGAGGGAGGGCTCCGGGTGCTAGCACGGTCTCCAGGGCAGGGGTGGCTGGATCTTCTCTGGCATGGAATAGCCTTCTGATGGTTCTCGAGCCTAGCCCCTGCTGCCTCCTCCCACCAGCCTGAACTTCCCTTCCAACCCCCACTCCTGCCTTCTCTGCGGGGCAGGGGCCCTCAGCCCGCACGGAGGAGGGATATTTGTATTATAGGATGCATTATAGGGATCTGAGGTCCTCTGGGTGCCCCCAATAGGCCACATGTCCTTTTGTCCTTTCCCTTGTGACTTTCTACCGGATGGTTTTCCACGCCCCTTCCAAGTGTCCGCAGAGTACCTGTTACCCACCCATGTAATCTCAGATCAAGGAAGAGAGCTGGAATATCCTTACAGACAGGAAAAGTGATTCTTAACAAATAATACTCCAAGGCTCAGAAGAAGATGACGTTGATTCCAGGGCATCCCAGCATGCATTACACTGGGAGGACAGGAGTCTGGGATCCTGAAACCAAGTGCAGGCCTTCTGAATCCTTTCATGGTCCTCCATCAGCCCCGCCCCAGGGTCTCCACCACACCAGGCAGCCCTGCGGAGTCCTCCAAGTTTCATGACCTGTAGCTAAGCTTCTCCACTGTCTGCCGTCTGCTACCGATGCCTAACAGAAAGCCTGAGCCTACACTGGGATGAAGAAGCAGAGCAGAGCAGGGATCATGGCTGCAGAAGCCAGATAGTGGGACGCAGCATGGTTCCAAATCTCATGTGACTGGCTGGGTTGCCCAGACTCTTGCAGGGTCTGGTGTTGACTGTACTGGCCCTGTAATTCCAGAAGAACCTTAGGGGCCTAGGGCAGGGTCAAACTTAGACGAGGCACTCACTACATGATGGGACGTTGACTTATCACTGGTCATTTGACATTGAACAGAGCAACAGCTAGGAGGATGTGCAGGCCTGGGCGTTGTGTTGGGTTGGTTAGGCATAGAGGCACAGGAGTTAGAACAGACGCGATGTGGCTGGAAACCACTACTTACCTAGAGGTGATCAAGAACGCTTGATGGAAGGGATCTTCTCTACTTTGGGAACTGAGAATTGGTGACCCTTACCAAGGGAAAGAGAGCCCTGGTAGCCTACCGCTTAAGCACTAGGCTGCTAACCAGAATGTCAGCAGTTCAAGCCCAGCAGCAGCCCTGAGTTAGCAAGGTGTGGCAATCTGCTTCCACAAAGATCACAGTCTTGGAAACCCTGTGAGAGCAGTTCTACTCTGTCCTGTAGGGTCATTGTGTGTCAGGAACAACTCAACGACGGTGGTTTTTATTTTTTATCGGAGAAAGCCGTTTTCTGAGATGCTCCAGGGATGCCAAAGTTGGTGTGAAATTTGGGAACCTTGGCATTCAGGGATTGGTTAAGACTCTTCCCCCCAGATCCTCCTCAGCATCCCTGTCAACGTTGGCCCCCATGAAGTCAAGGGGTGCTGTCGGGTAAGCAGCTAACAGGGGTTCAAACCCACCCGCTGCTCCCTGGGGAGAAGCTGAGGCCATCTGCTCCCAGAAAGATGGACAGCCTCAGAAGCCCTCTCTAGGCTACCGCGACCCAGGACCACCTCGAAGGCAGTGGGTTTGGTTTGGGTTTGGATGAAGTCCTGGAGCTGGTGTTGAGTGGAGTCGAGTGTCAGGTGGCCTCTACTCTGTTAGCTTCTTGAGTAGCATCGCTGTTACCTTCTGCTCCTGACCATCAGGCCTCGGCTGAGCTGGGACTTCTGGGAGGGAAGAGCAGTGGGAGACGGGAGTGGAGGTATTTGCCATGAGACGTTTCCCCTAGGCAAAGAGTCACATCCATGTACATTTAGCCAACCTTGAGGCTGCGCCAGGAAGTTTCTTTGTTTTTGACTGAATTTCTACCAAGTCAGCGTGTCACCCCTTTGGTTATCTCTACTGGGGTCAGCAGTTCTGTCCAAACATGATGCATGTCTTTGATTAAACAAATACCGTATCACAAAGCAAATCATTAGCTGCATGTAAATGGATTTCATTTGGTTGACAAAATCTCCCAAGACAGTGCTCACGGGGAAGAACTCATTGGCGGGGGCTATGGCGGTGGAAATGCTGGAATCCACTAACCCAGTATGTGTTCCCCAGAGCTCTGTATGCTGTGGCTCTGCCAGTACACAGTACTAACCACAGTCTCCACTTAGACCAGCCTGTGGCAAAGAGCTGCCTATGGGGAAAATGTGGTCTCTAAGCACCTCTGCGCACCTTTCAATCCAGGCTTAAGATCTGAGGTCTATGGATTGGCAAAGCCTCTCCCTGGACCTTCTGCTTATCTTCCGCTCTCCAACTCCTGCCTCCCAGCCTCCAGGAAGACTAGAGGGTTGGGGATTGAGGAAGGATAAGGAGGGAGAACCGACAACAATCGTAGGCCTGAGTAAGTGAAGATGGTGGGAGGTCGCTAGGATCTTTGATCCTCTTGGGCACCATCTCCTCTAACTACCTCGGCTCTGGTTTCATAATGCTCCCACCCACCACCCACCACCTCTTATGTCACTCTGGCTTCCAGTCCAGGCCCGCCCTCCCCAGCTGTGTGAAGTATAAGAATGGTCAAGATGTAAATATGTGGATTCTTCTGTATAATAAAGCACCAGTGAGATGCCACGTGTGTCTCTCCACTCCTCTCTGTTGCTTCTGGGCCTCGAGAGAAGACAGGCGCTGTGGGCAGGGGCCGAGGTGGGACAGCGTTGAAGAGAGGACTCATTGGGAGCATCACAGCCCTTCACCTGCCCTCTGAGATGGGGGCAACTGAACCACAGCCAAGGAGGCTTCCGGGTCGAAGGCATCAGAAATCAATTGCATTCACCTATATCTCCTTATGTGACCCTGGTGTGCTTGGTGGTCCAGGGTTGAAACTGCAGAATAATCAAACTTACTGCCACCAAGCCCGTGCTGATTCGTAGCGACCCTATGGGAACTCTGAAGGAGCCCGTGAGCACAGCCCAGCTCCAACCCACACAGGCCTGCCCTGAGTTGGTGTCAACAGCAGCAACTTCATATGATTCCAGAGGGTTGGTTTGGCTTTTGGTTTTACCTATACAAGCACATTTTGGGAGGAAGACGAGGCTTTCTACTACCATCCGCAATGACTACTGGGCACCCACAGGGGCAGCTCTAGCTAGAGGTTATGAGTCAGAATAGGCTCCAGGGCAATGGATATGGAATTTGAATAAATTCTTGGAATAAAAGAAAAATGCCTGTAGATACTCATTTTTCTCTTTTAGCAAAATGTCGCATACCACAATTCTGCCCTCTGCCTTTCTCAGAGGGAGCCCTGGTGGCATAATGGTTATACATTGGACTACTAACCACAGGATCACCAGTTCGAAACTACCAGCTGCTCCTCAGGAGACAGACAAGGCTTTCTACTTCTGTAAAGAGTTGGAGTCTGTAAAGAGTTCTACCTGGTCCTGCGGGGCTGCCGTGTGTTAGCATTGACTTGATGGCAGTGACTGAGACTCACTCAAAGAGTTTTCCCTGAGGAAAGCACTCTTCTTTTTAAAATCACGGCTTAGCTCCCATTGTGTAACTTCCCTTCATCATTCCCCTTCTGAGGGACGTGTGGGTTGCTTAATCATTTGCTCTTACAAACAATAGAGCAACAAGTAGACTGGTATATATGTCATTTGGCACATGTGTAAGTATATCTGTAAGATAAATTCCCAGAAGTGGAATTGCTGGGCCAAAAGAGTAATTCAAAGTAATTATATCTTCTCTTTACCTCACTGGTTCTTCTGACTCACAGTCTATGTTTATTTTCAACTTTTGCTTATATGCGCCTCCTGTTGACCCCACTCTTCCTCCAAGCCTCTGTTCATCCTTTCAGTGTCTGTGCCCAGGGTTGTGCGCAGAGATCGAAAGAGAATCTGACTAGCCAAGCACCCTTTTTCTGCACAAAGTCAATAGTCAACTAATGGTAGCCACTCTGAGGCCAGTACCTGCCCTGATCCATTAAGTTGTACTGTGTGGGTAGGGATGTCTGTGTAGAATCACATTGCTCAAACAATATGATGGCATGTGAACAGGACTACTTGTCTCAGAATGGACAGTGGGTGTGGCAGA